GTGGTAAAGCAGATATTGTACTCTTGGATGATGCTGGGATACAGGGAATTGAAGTCAAGAAGTAGAATCAGGGTATCATATAAACCTGAACTGACAAGGTGGATTAGTTAAATCAGTTGACTACCGTATAACTCACCTTTCTTCGGTTCCAAGACCAAACCGCCTGAATACTGTGCTTTATTCTTAGACTTAACTTCAGTTTCATTCTCTTCAGTAACCTCGTCATCTTCATTTTTCGCAAACTTTTCCTGATTCCCTAAAAACTCAAATCAACCGTAGTATTTGAGATTGACCAGAAATCAAAAAGGATAAAGCTCTTTATATTAATTACCTTTCTTAAAACTTGTCTGGTACTTGTTCGGCGCTATATAATTAGCCTTGTTGAATGCGTGCAGCAGCAAAAATTCGTTTCGTTCAGCTCTTCCACCCATCAATGTTCGGGACTGAACAGCGCAAATTTCCAATGCACAGCAGAGCGGCGATTTCACCTACCGTAACCCCTCCAACAATGTTAGTGATCTGTACAGCAAGCTGGAGCGCATTGATCTGGGCTATGACTCTTAGAGAGAGCCAAGGGTCCATCCAGCTCCACTGAATGAGGTTCAGCAGTTGCTGAGATGAACTGGAATACCATTGAGTATTTTGTCAATTTGGAATTATTAACAATCAAAGAAGAAAATTTCAAAAATCAAGAATGACAAAAAAGTGAAGAATCTTAACTCCACCTAAATTTCGCTGCAATCTCATTCGCATAAATGTTCTCTCTACTTACACCCAAAAGTTGGCTAACAAGCTCACTGAGGTCGTAGCTGCGAGACCTCACTAGTTCCATAGCCGACAATCTAAATAAAAGGTCCTTTAAAAAAAGATGTAGAGTTTTGCAAATGATTGTGTGCTGGGACCACCTACCTAGAGTCCACCAGCATCCTCCCAGCCGTCAACTCCCATTGCCCTGCTTTATTATGCGCCACCTTTCCTACATTTATTGTACGCTTCAGTCTACTAGTTCTAGACCAGTTAGCCACTTTCAGTTTATCCATACGTGACACAAGCACAGAGATGGAAGCCGACAAATCATGTCCCTAAAAATGCAAAACATTGCATCGGCCGGGAATCGAACCCGGGCCGCCCGCGTGGCAGGCGAGCATTCTACCACTGAACC